AATGCTTTTCCTCTTAGGCGTTCTCAAGGGCCTAACCAGCCCCTCCTCTTTTCTCTTCTAGAGTTCCTGTCTGATTCCCAGTTCCCAGAGGGAAATGACTCCATGGCAAAGAACTATCAACTGTTGGAAAGAAGACTCAGTATATGCAGGTGATACAGAACTTTCCTGAACCACTTCATTCGATACGCTTTTCTTTTTATAGCCATCGCCCCATCAGGGTATTTATATTGAAAGAATGGAAGTCCAAAAACAATGGCCCTAATTAGATTTCATAGCATTTAAAAGAAACATTTTTTGAAGTTAAAAAAAAAGGAAAATATATCTACTGAAATAAACATAAACATCAAAAGACTAATAAGAAGAATGAACTGGTTCCTGCATGGATATGAAGTTATGAAATATTCTGCAAGATATAGTTGACTCTTTCAGTATTGTGACAGGCAGATTTGAAAGACATAAACACCACTTATTTTTTGCTGGGGTTTTTTTTTTAAGTCATTTTATTGGGAGCACTTAACAGATGTTGTTAACGATTCATAATTCAATTAGATCAAGCATGTTTATACTTGCTTGTTGCCACAATTGTTGCCACCATCAGTTTCAAAACATTTTCATTCTTCTTGAACTCCTTATTATCAGTTCCTCTTTGTCTCCTCTCTCTCCATGTCTTGAGGCGTTTTTGAGACAAATATGGAAATGCCTTGACTTTCTCTAACAACTAGGGATACTGAAATGGCACCCGAACCAAATTGACTGCCATCGAGTCAAAGTTGATTCATAGCGACACAGCCCCTCAACCCCTCTACTGTGGGTTTCCAAGACTGTAACTGTTGACTGGAGTGGAATACTCAGTCTTTCTCCCCCGGAGCTTCTGGTGGTTTCAAACTGCCAACCATGCGGATTGCAGCCCAGTGTATAACCACTATTCCATCAGGGCTCCTCTGCTGAAATGGCACAGCATTCTCAAATTTATTTGACTGAAAAGGAATGGTGTAGGACTGTTTGGGGTCGTTATGAGTCAGCATTGACTCGATGGCAGCGAGTTTGGTTTGGAGTTTTATAAATACTTGATAATCGAGCCTTGGTAGCACAGTGCTTAAGTGCTCGGCTGCTAACCAAATGTTGTCCATTCAAACTGTCAGCCTGCATGGGAGAAAGATGTGACAAAATCGGCTGGCTTCCATAAGGATTACAACCTTAGAAAGCAGGTGGGTTAGTGAGCGCTGTCCTAGAATGTCAAAGCCTTGAAAACTCTGCAGAGCAGTGCTACTCCACAGACAAGGTCATCATGAGTTCAAGTCAACTCAAGGGCAAGTAACGACAAGAGTAACATTAATACAGAAGGCTATAGGTAAACAGAAGACAGTTTTCAGATAATTAAATGGAATTCCATAGTTTTTATTTATTTTTACCGTTACCTTTATACTTCTTCTTTACCCCATATCAGGTCATGCTATACATTACTGACAATTCAAAACAAATACTATTTACTTGTGTCTTCTATCTTCAATCAACTTAGTTAAAAAAAAATACCATATACTCCTCACAAATGGCTGAAAGGAAAATTCAATACTTACTAGAAAGAACAGTTGTAAGAAAAATGTAGTCTGAAAAGGATATGAGTCCACATTCTCCAAGTGTGTAAAATATACTGCCTTCGTCAGCAAATTTTTCTCGTTCCTGGGAAATTTTCTATTAAAGTTCGAGTCACATCAAAAAGATAAAGATAAATTGAATTAGAAAACAGTGATAGGAGTTGTCATCATTTATCTGACAGTTTTATGCCATTTCTCATAAGCATTTTTCCTGATGGCCATTCTAAGTCAATGAATCCTTTACAGTTTTCAAGGTGATGAAAATTATAAGACAAAGAGGTTGTGTGTGTGTGTGTGTGTGTTGCTCATTTCAATACTGGCTTAATACAAAAATTGGAAAATATTTTCAATTTTATGACCAGCTGCCCTTTAAAAACATAGAGCCCACTTAAGGAACAATTTTGTTTTCATTTTAAAAACAATAAATCATCTTGCATAAAAAACAACCAAAAACCTCACTGCTCCCTAGAGTTTTCAACACTGTAAACCCTTATGGGAGCAGAAAACCTCAATTTTCTTACATGGAGCAACTGGTGGGTTCAAACTGCTGACCTTGTAGTTAGCAGGTCAAGTAACCCACTATGCCCGGCGCTCCTTGCCTTCCTGTATAAAGTAGTTAAAAATAAAATAAAATAGTTTTAAAAAAAAGAACTAAACAAATGAAAGCGAAAAGGAAATAAATCTGCTCCCCCTAAAATACACAACCCCCCCCAAAAAAAACACCCCAAAACTGTTAATAATCGGAAATGAAGAAAGCAGATATTTCCAAGGTCCACATGAATGTTTGGAAAACGAATTTCTTTCTTAAATAGCAATTTGAAGTTTTACTGGATGATCCCAGAAATCTGAGTTTGGGAATGTAGAACCATATGCAAAGTGCACAGCATCCTGAAACTTAAGGTTAAATGAGAAATGTATGCCAACCTTTAGGCACGACTTAATTTACTCATATAAATCGGCCATTTGATTAAATGGCCTCCTGAAGATTTACACAGCGCCTCTCTCAGATTCTGTAACTGTCTACATCAAGCAGCTGTTCTCTTCTTTAGTATTTAAGAAAACCTACCCTTCCCCAACCCACCCCGGACTTTTTTTTTTTTTTTTTAGAATTCCTAGCCAAATCATGAACTCAGTGGTGCAGAGATTTTAAAAACTGAAAAGGAGTCATCAAGAAGTTAGACTTGGAATGAATTTCTTTAGTTCTGGGCCAACTGAAGATATTCGGTTATTCTGAGTACAAAAAAAAAAAGAAAAAGAAAGAAAGATAGAAGGTTTTAAGAACCTGAACCAACAAAGCGCAATCAAAGTTATAATGTCATGCAAGCATAAAATAATAAGAGGCAGCATTGCAAACATAACTTCTGGAGGTGTCATGAAAATAAACCAACAAGCACCAACACACCAGCATCAAGGTACACAGCTATCCAATAGGTTACCTCTGTCTAGTGTAGATCCATCATATACCACAAAGGAAAGAAAACTGGTTAACCAATTGAAAACACAGTACTAAGTGAATCATCATGAAGTCTGTTTGCAGCCCCTGCAGAGAGCTGCTTGCAATAGAAACCATAGGGCAGTCAACAAAGTAGCAGCAGGTTTTGATAATGTGGCAGACAGCAGACATGTTCTGCTTGATTGCATTTAGATACTAGTTTGTTGCGCTGATGACAAAGGTGAGCACATTATTTAATAGGTTCTAATTAAAGGGAGACCTCATGCCACACTTAATCTTCTACCAAGAAATTAAACATAAACACGAGATAAAAAAAGGTCAACAGCTAGAGCAGCAAAGCCTTTCAATGGGAAGTTAATACATAAATTTTCTCAGCAAAGGGTTACATTTTTTACATTATTAACGGCAAACATTAAGAATAGAAAAATATATACAAAATGAGTACAGGTCCTCAAATACATACCATTACTAACTCAAACAATGTGTATAGGAGCTAAACATTTCATAACAATTATGAAACAAATTATGAGATTCTTATAACAATGAAAAAAAGTAACATATTTAATACTTATAGTCAGAACTTTTATTTTTCTAACACATAGGTAGAAGTTGAGTTGTAGTCAACCTAATGGCAACTGGTTTGGGTTTTTTTAGCTAAAAATTGAGAAAGAGAAAAACCTAAGGGCAGAGTGGAACTTGGCAGCTAAGTCAAGCATACCAAACACTCTTTCCAACAATCATCTGGACTTGCTGACGCTCAGAAAATAAAATGCAAATCTAATTTTGTTGCTAACTCTAAATTTTTATGAACTTTCAAACTCACAGACAGTTGAAAGGTTTATAAAAGGAACTATCATATTCAAATCCACCAGCAATTTAACTATACCCATTACTTTATCACTACGTGTATTATACATGGATTTCCTCTTTGCACTAGTTTGAGAGTAAATGGGAGATTTCATGACCCTTTACTTCAACACTTAACACTTAAAACTAATACTTCCGAATATATTTCCTAAGAACAAAGACATTCTCTTACATGCTACAGTACAAATATATCAAAACCAATACATTTAACAATGACACTCATACATTATCCAGTTGATGTTCCATATTCAAATTGAGTCAACTGTTCCAATAATATCCTTTATAATTTTTTTCCTGAGTCTAGGATCTCGCAATCCACGATTACATGTCATATACTGCATTTAACTTTTAATCTTTATTAACTCGTAATTGCCTTTGTCCTTCTAGCTGGAGACAGTTTAGAAAAGCACAGATGAGTTATCGGGAAAAATATCCCTCAACTTGCATTAGTTTTTGTTTTCTTGAGATTAGAGTCAGATCATGCATCTTCAGCAGGAAGATTACATAAATGATATTTCGTCCTTTTAGTTGGATAACACCAAAAGCACATGATGTTGGGTTGTCTCAGTTTTATTTGATTAAGGTGTATCAGCCTAATTCTCCACTGTAAAGTTGCTATTTTTCTGTTACAATTAATATGTATGTTGTGACTATATACACTTTCCCCCAGTTTTAGCACTGATTTGATTTGTCACACTATCATCCCTTCTATAATGAGTGGCTGGCATCCCATTGCAAAGAGTAGTTTTCTTTTCTCTCCTTTTAATATTCCTTTATATAGTACAGACTTGTAAATTTTGTGATTTGATGGGTATTGCAGTTATCAGTATTTACGTCAATGCTCACATTGTCCTAGGTTTGGCTAGTTTGACTCCTAAAATGGATGCCTGTGTCCTGTGTTATTTTCTGGTACATCTTCTTATCCCATCCCTCCACAAACACACCCCTCCAAAAAAAGAAAAGAAAACACGGGTTTGAGCACTTCTGTCTTTCTGGTACTAGATGCTCCAGATTCATCATCTTTACATTTCCAACCCTGGAGCACCTGTTCCAGTTACAGGTCCTAGCTACTTTCAGTGGACAGAGATATTCAGAAACTGAGATCTAGGTGGTAGGTATGCTCATTATTTCTAGTTTTCTCAGTGGACCAAGTTGACATGCATGTGCCTACATCCACATACAAATACTGCTACTTATCTATTAATTATAACTTATATGCTCAGATTAATGCCTTAATTCCATTCTAGTACTATAAGGCACAATTTAGCTGTTCTCCATACAGAACTCTAACTCCCTTCTCTGTAAGAGAATGCTACATTTTCCATTATCTTCAGAGAAAGCTATGTTTTCCATTATTTTCAATATATTTATTCATTTGCTCAAATTTATATAACAAGTAATTTTAGAATTACTAGTTCATACTCTGGAAAGCAAACAAATTATTAATAATGTTAAAATCTTTTTGAAAGTAAAATGCACATACGGTAAAATGTATAATTAATGAATGCCCATGGAAGCAGCAGTCAAGAAATTAACATTGCATTGGGCAAATCTGCTGCAAAATACCTCCTGAAAATATTAAAAAATAAAGATGCCATTTG